CTCTTGCCACGACAATCGCCAGCACTTCTGCTTCGGGTCAAACCGTCAAACCAGAGTCCCGGAACCTGATCATCGCTGCCAGGCACTGCTGCCGTATCAGACTGCTCTGTGTATTCCAGAACCATAGCCTTCTGCTGTGGGTCGTAATACACTAGGGAGCCGTCTTCTGGCCAGAAATGCACAAGCCTGCACAAGTCGGCATCTTCAGACTCAGAACTATCGAGGACCACTATCGGTCCTTCTTGCCGGAGGGTTTCTTCGGCATCATCAGACTCAATGCTATCGAAGACCGCTGGCGGTCCTTCCTGCGGGAGGGTTTCCATCGGCGTCTGCATCACCTCCTCCGCAAAGGAAAGGACAGCAGTTCGAGCAGCCTCCGAAACCAAACTGTCACCCAGGTCCGCCGACCTGGCAGCAATCAGGACAGAAACGATAGCTACGGCATGTAATCTTGCGCATTTCTGCGATGTTGCCTGCGATGCCGCCGGAGCTCCTGTCGGATGTTTTGGAGCATCTCCAGAGCCACAGCCTCACCGCCAGCAGCCAAAAAACTTGAACCCTGTGCGCAACGGCGCCGGCCTCCTCCTCGCGCACAACGGGCCGCGCCGGGCTCAGTCTCCCGCGAGCACGATGGTGCCGCAGCATCGGCATGGGTTCGGGTCGCTCGAGCCGCCGCTCGAGCCCGCGCAATCGATGGGCCACCTGCCGTTTCCCAACCCAGTACTGGTCTGGAGGCCTGTTCCAGAGTCTGCTCCACATCTGAGGCCTTGCGAAGCAGTCAAACAAATCCTGCTTTCAGACAGAGAGTCGCATGGGCCTGAAGACGAGCAGCTACGTGTTCGAACTCCATGCTGGAGGCCTGCAGGCGGTCTAAACACGCTGCACGCTGGATTGGGGCAACGGGTATGGGCCGAACCACCTGCAACTTCCGAAAGCATGGCGACAATGGCGGATCCATCGCGGATTCCCGTCTAGCTCAGAAGAAGTTGCAGGGACATGGGCAGTACAGGCACTACCTGTAGGACGTGCAATGCTGTGTCTCTGCTTCTACTTTGCAGGCGGCACCTGAGCCGAATTCCACACGATGCATCCTAAGCAGCGAAAGTGGCAGCTGGCGACGCGGCCAGGGTCACTATAAACCTACCTGGCCGTGTCGGGTTTATGGTTCAGGACAAATTCGACTCCCAAGCACCAGCCCCAGAGTCCTGGAGTTTAAAACAGCCGGTGGCTTCAGTGCATCGCTCTGTGGAGGTCTGAGTTTCACGGCACATCCCTGGGTCACGGAACTAAGCAGCCACTCAGAAAGCGAAGCCTGATCCCCCAAAGACTCCGAGCAGTATATCTCATCCCAGGAGCGGAAGTGTGTTGCGATCGCCCGCAGAAGTCGCAGAGCTCTGTCAGTTTGCTCGCCTGCGAGGCGTTGATTTCAAGCTCTGATGTAGTTGTCGCTAGCATCGACTTACGACAACATGGGCCGGGGACCCTGGGTAGCACCTGGGTTCAGAAATGATTCTCGGGGTTTGGGAGGTGTGAAATAGTCTCAGGGGGGAGTCTCAGCAGCGGTTGGTTTCGGGATCACCCGGCCAATGCATTTTGCCAGATGTCGACAGCGTCTGGCAAAACGCACTGTGACCCACTCCTGCCACGTCAAACTGGCCTTCTGCCATCTTCTGCCGCTATGCAAGGCAGATCACAAAATGTCGACGACGTCTGACGGCAACTCGCAACACCTTGGCTGCTCGCTAATGCAGGCTTGTTGGGAGGAGCAGCCATTAGTCGGGCACTACTGGGACATCGACTGTTGCCGCCATGTTTTTTGGCCCACGGCAACAGCAAGGCACAGAAGAGTGGGCATCCGCACCGACAGCCCGCCGACCCAGCCCCACCCGCCCGCCCCGCGGCAACAGCGTGGCACAGAAGAATCGGTGGCGACCTATCCGCGCCGACAGCGTGCCCACCCACCACCCCCCCCCCGCCCGCGACGGCCCGCATCCCGGCTGAAGTCACGGTCGCTCCTCCGCACTGCCGCTGTCATCCGCTGTGGCGACCAGCTGCGTCTGCTCCTAGCACGTTTCGGGGCGTGGAGCAGGCTTGAGTCTCTGCCGCAATTTGTTCCAAGTGGCGGCATCCTCCGCCGCACCCTGCTCCTTACCGCATCTAGGAGGACACAGTCTGTCAGGCAACCCGGCACAACGCATTTTTGTCGAGTGGCCGTGTGGTCACCAGCATCAGCCAGCGGCTGCTGCTCGTGACGCACCTCACTGGATGCACTTGAAGACGTAAACCTGCGCAAGTCGACACCGCAGTTGTTTCCGAGTGGCAATATCCTGCGTGGCATCGGCCCGCTGCTGCTCCTGGTACTTCTGATGAGATGCACTCTGTCAGGTGGACTTGTTTAAGCTTTCCGGTCCTTCATTGCAAGCTCCTTAGCCTTCCGGGAGAGGCAGCTCGAGAAATGCCACTCGCCATCGTGACTGAGATCAAGTCTTCTGACGCGCAAGAGCCACTAGACTAGTTGAAAAAGCCATCTGTTCCAGACAAGAAGCTGGATAGCCACATGGTGGCTGGTCCTGGAAGCTCCCGTGTCTGTGAACATTTGTGCATCCTCGGTGGCAGTGTTGATTTCGAAATACATGTTGAAAGTGGACCTTCATGGTACTGCTGCATAGATTGCAAAGACGTCACACATGTGGATACCCAGAGATTATACCGCACGTTCCGCACAGCTGGTAGCATGTTGGCTGAACCTGGGTCCGCGTTCCCAATGGTAGCCGTGGCAAACAACACAAAAAGTCAACTGCATCCTAGGAACATGTTCCGACCCGACAAGAGGTCGGAAGGCCAATTGGACATTCCATGGCCGTCTACAAGAAGGCTTTCAGGAGCCGAGAGATCACTGCCAAGCGGAAATGATCCTCAACTTCGACCCCCCCCCTCAACCCCTCCCCCCGGCTGAACATCTTGAATCCGGGAATGATTCCGGAAAAATGATCCTGGGGGGGAACCCCCCCCTGGGAATCATTCTTTAAGGATGCCCCCATACCACCACCACCACCACCACCAACAACAACAACAACAACAACAACAACAACAACGACAACGACAACGACAACGACAACAACGACAACGACAACAACGACAACAACGACAACAACGACAACAACGACAACAACAACAACAACAACAACAACAACAACAACAACAACAACAACAACAACAACAGCAGCAGCAGCAGCGGCACCAACACCACCACCACCACCACCACCACCACCAACAACAACAACAACAACAACAACAACAACAACAACAACAACAACACCAGCAGCAGCAGCAGCAACAGCAACAACAGCGACAATGGGGAATGATCGCTGGCGTAACTGCGGAATATCCCGGCGATTGACGATGTTACATCGTTTGGTACTGGTAGAGCTTGGCAACGCCAGTACATGCAAAAGCCAAGGGGCGATTTCACCTTTGTCGAGCTTGCGCACAATCTGGCATAAGAACGGCTTGGAAGCCTTAGCAGGAAAGCCCTGCCCTTGCACCCACTTTGTCAGTTAGCAACAAGCACTGTTTCAGTGTGCCTGCGGGCGTGTGCGTGCATGTCCGTGGCTGGCAAAATGTGTTTTGGCCCAAGGTGGCTGTGCAGCACATAACCAATGCAACCTGATCCAAAAACCATGCTAGGAACCGCGGAAAAAGTCAAACTGTGACACTTGGCGAAAAGATGGAGCGATCTCGTCTGCTTTGCCCAGCTTGTTGATCCAGTAACGGCATAGTGCCACGGCCACTTCGTGCCAGTGGTGTTGTACCCCACCCGGCCTTCCAAGTCATAAAGGGTCAACGGCCACATCATATGTACTTGCACAAGCACACCATGTTGACTGAGATTGCAAAGACTTTTCTCCACCAACGCTTTAGGCCATCGGTAAATGGGGGAGTCCTGGGTTGTTCTGGACGGTGGCCCAGCGAAGAAGCTGATTCCGAACATTTTCATGCGGGCCCCGTTGTTCAATGAAATCAAAGCCGAAATCCCACTGCTCGAAGCTTTTCTCCTGCTCCGGTTTGCCTTCCTATTCCGTGCGAAGTACATGATGGCAACACATGAAATCCACCACATAGCTAATGCAGAAATAACTTTTCACGGTGATCACAATGCCCGACAAATCCATTGCATAAAGTATAGTTACCATGACAATGGTCGCGAACTGATCTACTGCGTTTTTCTTATCCTTGAAATTGATGCTCTTGAAAATAGTGAGCTTTCCACTGTGCTGGGGGTGCACGGCCAAGTCAATGCGAAAAGGGCATCCACGCTTTGGCTAAACCATACGGCTTTGGCAAAATCTTGAAGGACTGAATAAGCATCACTTACTTGGTTTCTGTTGAAAGCAAGCTCGGCAAACCCACGATCGCGCCAATGAAGCATTTCATGAACCCGCTGATCGGCAAGTCTCTCAACGGCAAGTCGAAGGTCTCAAAGAGCCCACTATGGGTTTGGCAATGTGGTGCATGTCGATAATGCACAACTAAAAATTTCGTGACAGCTTGACGAGCTTCACTCATAGTGACGCTGTATCAATGGAAGCCAGTAGCAGCCACAATAGTAAGAGCAATGGTGATAAACATTATTTACTCGTATCATCGTCATTCTCATCACCAGTCGCATCTGTGAACATGACAAACATGGACGATGCAACCAGCACGTCAAAAACGCGTAATATGTCTGTTTCTTGAAGCGAAGACCAATGCGTGTGAAGCACAAGCATACCAGTACCAAGTTCTAGATCGACAGCTCGAACGTATGCCCAAGCTGAAACAAGGGAAAAAGCATGAACAACCGAGAAGTTATGCACCCTATCTGTGCCGACAAGCACGATTCCATGCGAATCCAAACATCCCACGTGGTCGCGGTCCTGGGCTGGGTGCTGCGATTTCTCCGCTTTGGATAGTCAACGCTTGGGGTGTCAGCCTTCAAGCCATGCTTTTTATGGCACAACCTATGCCAACGTCATGAAAGCCACTCTTCCTGCTGGGACATTGGCTGGGCATTGAATAAGGTTCTCTCGGTTTGTTCCTTGAGCGACGTTTCTTGCCACCTGGTTCTGCTTGGTCGTAGTGGGCTCTGAGCTCCTCGCAAATTTCTTCCAATCCGGCTCGTAGTCGTGGAAGAAAGCGGAGCGGCCAGAGTCTTTGAAGGCGGAGAGGACAAAGTCGAGCTCGAAACCTTGCATTGGGGTTTCACAGAACTCACCGCACGACAAGTCGCACTGGAGTCGTTGGCCTCCTTGGGAGTGGCGTGAACGGTCTTCCCTGAATCCAAAATTATCTGAGGCATGTTTTTGCTTTTGTTGTTTACTTTGCTCGCTGTCGCCCTCTCACGGACTTCAAAGTTGTCGGGATGCCAAGACATACAAGGTAGGACATGAAAACTATGGAGACCCACATGCAACCACGGTTTAATCACATAGTACAGAATGGTTGCTCTTGCATATTATGTGTAAAAATGCATACACACATATATATATATATATATATATAGATAGATAGATATCTCTCTCTCTCTCTCTCTTCCAGTCTCTCTCTCTCTCTCTCTCCCTCTCTTTGGCGCTCTTTTCAACCTACCCAAACTTCTCTCTGCATCTTCCTTCCTTCCGTCCGTGCCAAGGCGCCCCCTCCTCTCATACGTTCATGAGAAGACAGGCTCCCTCTCTCTCTCTCTCTGTTTCTATTCTCGCTCTGTCTCTGGCCCGGTCCCACAGCGGTAAGCTCACGAGAGGGATGTGCCCCTTCAGCATCCTTTAGCAGTAGCCCACCTCCGAAAACTCCCCACTGCAGGCCCTGAGAGCCCTGACATGCCTCGCAACACTGAGACAAGGTGCGTAAGACACAACATGTGATGTCAGAGTCATCTCTCTCCCTCCGTCCCTCCATCTCTCCTCTCTCCTCTCTCCTCCGAAGCCCTCCGGACCTCGACCTTCGGTGCACACTCTGCCAAGGCTTGGCGCCCAAGGGCTCCCTGCAGGTCCTCTGCGGAAGCCTTCCTGGCCGGAGCACTTTTCAAGGTTCTTGTGACAGTGACAAACCCTAGGTTCTGTTTCTGGTGCTCCCCGGGTTGAGAGCTCCAAGGGTTCTTGTGGATTTGGTGTCCGTAGGCTCGGGGCTGCGTGGTTGCGGCTTCCTCTAGCCAAGGACAGCAAAACATCCCGCCAGCAGCCGCTCGACCAGCTCTTGTGCGAGACATCTCTATATAAGCAAGCCAAAAACCCTTGCAAAATCTCGCAACCTGCCATCATGATTCCCGTACTGGCTATGAGCTATAAGCGTTGTGCGTTAAAGCTTAGGGTTTAGGGATCAATGCCTCTGTTTAGGGTTCAGGCTTTCATCGTGCTATTTGGGGTTCTGTATTGGGTTCCTGCTGAAGCTCCAAGAGGTCAATGCGAACAGTCAACCGCAGCGGGAGCTTCAGTGCAATCACATCACCTGCATCCCAGCCACCAAGGACGCCACCAGCCCCCCACGTCGAGCCCATCAAGAAGAAGCCCCTAAACGCCCCCCCGAACCTCCAACCAACCCAAGACCCGAACCCCTAAACCCTAAAACCCTGAACCAAAGACCTGGCTTCCGCCCTTCCCCAGCCTCAGGCTCTCCAGTGCCTGCGCCAGCTTCCGCTTGTGCACATCGCTGCCAGGGTCGAAGGCCGGCACCTGCGAGGGGGAGGGGGGGTTTGGGGACCTTGGGGCCTTTTAGGGCTTCGGGTTTGGGGGTTTGGGGGTGAGGCTTCAGGGGGCTTTCACCTTTTGAGCATCTCAAGGCTCAAGGCTCCCGAAAACGAAGGCTTTCGGGCCTGGGGCTCCGGAGTACGGGCGTTTTGGGTTCAGTACCAGCAACCAGCATGGCTCCCTTGCATAGTCTCACGCACACGGGCCCGACCTCGGCTAGCAGCTCCAGCGCGTGAGGCACTGCCGTGGGACGGGAACCATCTTCCCTGACCTCAGAGGAGGTGTTTAATCTACTACCAATACGAGTACTACTGCTGCTGCTGGTGCTGCTGCTGATGCTGATGCTGCTACTGCTAGTGCTGCTGTTACTGGAAAGACGGCAACAAGGAGGCGTGGCCTCAGAATCTACAAAAAGCTCTTGCTGCTACTACTGCCACCACAACTGCAACTGTAACTGCAGCTACAACAACTACAACTACGACTACAACAACTCTAATGGGCCCTGTAAGGAGCACTCTGAACGCTACGACGACGACAATGACTACTGCTCGACCGAACACAACCTAACTCTGAGCACGCAGCGGCCAGGTTTGCGAGGCCTTGGCTGGCACCTTCGTACTTTCCCACAAGGTGAACGCCCCGATTCGTATCGGATATGGTATACAGTACAGTACAAAAGATTATATCTTGTATCATTTATATAATGTAACGCATGTATCCTACTTATTTCCAACACTCGGGTGGCGATCGATGCTTGGACCCTGCACTCCACATCGGGGCCTTAATAATTAGAGCAGGGTTTGTGTGTGGTAGGTAATTTTTTACGGCCCCTATAGTAATCGACTGAAACCTAACACCCCAAGAGTCCCGAAGCTGCCTCTGGCAAAGCTCGGGCGACTCTCTGCAGCCTCCTTGGAGCTGCTTCGCGCCTGACTCAGGGCCGGGAAGCCTTTTTTCTCCTTGTTTCAAAGCCTCAGCCAAGAACCCCAGAGCCCCGAAAGTCGACAGACCTGAAGACCCTGAACTCGAAAACCCGGTGAACCTTCAAATTCAAACCCCCCAAACAGACGCCGAGAGCCTCAACGGGGGTCCGGGCCTGGGGAATCGACTCCACCACATTTCGGAGACCCGAAGACGCCGCCGGAGGAGGAGCGCAGTTCACGAGGCCGCTCGCACCTTCCCCCAGTCTTGGGGGTCTCGTAAAGCTTAGGCTCCTTGTGGCGACCCTCTGCTCGAGTAGATGCATGTCACACTCCGGGGGCACGGCACTAGAGGAAGAAGGGAGTGCTGTTGAGTGTTTGATGCAACCCCGAAGCAACTTGAAAAATGGACTGCCAAAACTGGTGTCTCTTTCTTCCGGTACCGTCCCTGAGAGCCGGCATACTCAGTTGCCTGTGAGATTCCTACATCTTCATCAAACCTGCTCGAAGGAATATTTCAGCCAGCAGAGCAGGAGGATCTCCTCACCCCCACACCAGGTGCTGTGATCGGAACCGCTACGGAAAAGTCCCCATCCGGGCCCGGACTCCGGAGTGGACAGGGAGTCGGTTCTCAAGAAATCTCACACCTCACAAGGCCACGTCGCCTCGTGCGAAGCTGGGCCTGGTCTCGGATTCCTCGGAAGCGCTCGCCTGCGGAAGCGTTCAAGGGCAGTCAGGCTGATCGGGATCCGCACTGGGACAGAAACTACACCGGACAGAGAGGAGCGTTCTGCAAGTCAAGCGTGCCAAGGTTGGAACAGGCTTCGCTTTTGACGAGATCTACTGAAAGTGTGTTGGACAGTGTTTCCACCACGTGCTTGCGAGAAGCAAGTCTTCAGCTTATACGTGCTGCTCTGGAGGCCTCAAACAGATCATCTGCCCAACCATTTACTTCGATGGAAGTCCATACTGATACCTTCAATGCCAGTGCAAATAAGGTACACGGTTCAGCAGCCCCCCAGCGTTGACGGCGCCGCTGTGGTTGACGAGAGAAGCACCTCCATTAGGGAATAGATTTCTGCCGACTTCCATCGTCTGGTGCATTGAATACTGCATAACACAATACGACGAAGATTGGTTATATGCTTTGGTGTGCCTAACACTTTGACCCAATCAATTCCCGACACGAGCCCGTGAAAGACGTTCCGCACCCCCTCTGTCTGCGCGCATGTGGGTGTCTGGTATGTAGAGTATATATGGACACATACATGTGCTTGTCGGCGTACGTGTCACATGTATCATGTATATGTCACGTACATAGATGTGTTTCGGGGTGCTCTGGGGTTCCGCAGACATTACCGAAGCGTAAGGGGCCGAAACCTTGGACGAAGAACCGGAACCCAGCCTGAGATACCGGACCCTCATACGTACGAAACCGGCCGATGGTGCACCCGACCCCTCTCCCCCCCCGCCCCGAAAATCAAAGAGGGTTGAAAAGAGCCGAGCACAAAAGCGCGCCCTAAGTATATACCCTTAATATAGCTATTATATACCCATTATATAATTATATAGCCCATTATAGGGTACGGGGGGTCCCCATTAAGGGTTCCCCCCCCCCACCCAAAGACGGAACCACGCCGCCGAGAGGCCGCCGGCTGCGAGGTTCGTGAGCCCTCGAGCACGAGCCGAGCTCGGCTCAGGGAGCCCCGGGAGGGCGGCGAAAGCCAGGGAGAGCCGGAGACGGCCCACCTCTTCAAGGAGTGGGAGCGGAGCTTCCGAAAAGTAGGGGGGGGTACTAGTACCTTATTTTGGGGTCCTTAGAAGAAGGACCCTACTGTTTAGAGTACTATATTAGGGTCTCAAAAGAGGCTTCGTGCTTTGAAGTCTCTATACACGATGAGGCTTGCATTGGCCAGGAGAGTACACTGCAGGCTGCATGGCTGATTCCTTACGGGCCTGACATAAATATGCAGACGACGGACAGAGAGACGGGCAGACAATGAGAGAGAGACAGAGAAGGAGAAAACGGACAGAGAGAGAGAGGACAGAAAAAGGGAGAGAGAGAAGAGAAGAGAGAGAGACAGAGTGTGTGTGTGTGTGCGTGTGTGTATGTATGTCAACACATACAGATCTTATTGCTAAGACAAGCCCGGATTCCGGGTCCCGCCCCGCGCCTCCTTCGTCCCCTCCCACAGCGGAAGCACCTGGCGCCAAGCACTTCGCCGCTTTTTAGGGGGTTCCGAAACTTCCTGTAGGATCGACGCCTGGATGGCTTGGGGCATTTAGGGCCTAGTTTTTGGGCTTCGGGGGTTCCGGGTTCTTGCCTTCGACATCGAGCTGGGGATCCATGCTTCGATTCCTTTTGGAGCCTTAACCCGGAACCCTGAACCGCGAACCCGAAAGCCTACATGGCTTGGGGCATTTAAGGCTTAGGGCCCTCGGGGGAAACCCGAAACATCGCCACGCTCCCGCCTGGTCTCGCACTTCGGCACCTGCAAGCTGCGTCAGGGAAAGCTGGCAGCCGCCGATGAAGCGAGAACCAAAGGTGCCTCCCGATGAAAGGTTTAGGGTTTAGGGTATCTGCGACTAGCTGTAGCATCGTCAGTCTTTTCTGCGAGTCACATCGAACATGCAGGCCATTAGTCCCGGTGCTCATGCGTGCTATGCTTACTACACCCGACTAAACCATATTCCACTACTTTCTTTGCTAAACTTACACCTCTCTTCTTCCTCTTGGCCACGTTCCTGCACACGGCAACAGATGGCAACGGCTTGCCTTCCCGTCTCAGCTGAAACGAAACCTTCCGTGCCTGAGGCGGGGTCTTGTTACAACTTGAGGCCTGCAGGCCTGCGGGAACATCTGGAACCTTGCCCAAATACCATCGCCATCACCACTAACGCCATCACTGCCACCACTACGATGACGGCCAGCATCATCGTCAATATCCTCGTCCTCATGCTCATCCCGATCAACAACAATATGGCCATCATGATCATTGGCACCATAACCATCACACATGACCATCACGGTGGATGTGAGTACAGTCGCAACTCTCTTGTCGAAACCCACTCTTCATTCAAGCGTCATGAACGTATGCTAATTTCTGGGCCAAATGTGATGATGCTGCTAATGAGAATATTGGAAACAACAAGTTCGATTCACTCATTGGCATAACCTTTATGGGTATTCCGGCTTTCGCTCGGCTTCGTACTGCTGCTGCTGCTGCTGCCGCTGCTGAGGAACCGTTGTTTCACCGGAATGCAGAGACTCTGCATTGTTGCAATCCACTTGTGGTCTTCGTACTGGCTTCGCGGTCCATGTAGAATTGAAAGAATTATTCACGGCCCAAGAAAAATGCTCGATACCGGGACCATTGGATAGCGCTCACATACTCCATATGCGGCTGACTATCACCTGCCCCGTCTGCGGCTGCCTGGAATTGACGGCTGCACAATCATAAACGGCAGTAACTCTGCCTCTGGCTACACACATCTGCTGGCTCACCTCGAACCACTGAGTGGGAGGTAAAAACACAAGGAGCTGCAGACAGTTCTGGCGCAGTGCTCAAACACTGGCCAGTATAAGGTTCCGAAATTACAAGGCTCCGAACAGCGATGAAGGTCAGCACGTGAGTACTTCATTCTGTTTCGGCCCGGCTCGTGAAAACTCGACCGGTACTATGGGAACGATATGGAACGATGCTCGACCTAAGTGCCGAGTTTGTCCTGACATTGGCAAACACTTGCGAGGACCGAGTGCAGACGTGCGTAAAGGGTTGTGGGTTCAGGCAAGTATTAGGCAATCTCCACACGTGGTACATTCGGCATTGGTATCGATATTGGTATTGGTATTAGGTATCGGTTCCACGCGAAACTGAAACTTGTCGGTCCTGGGCTAATAGCTCTTTACTGCGTAGGCAGGGGAACCAGCCCTTGACCGCGCCCCTTAATCTCTAGCTGCAAACATCTGCTGCTCACTCGAACGAATGAAGGAGGAGCTGCAGAAATAAGTTCCGGCGCCGTCGGCGCCGACCTAGCCCTGTACAAGGCTCCAACTGCTACAACACTTCTAAGAGTGATCTTCAGATCAACCAAGCTGTTCTCACGGGGCTCGTCATTGCCCTCGTCAGAGCAAAGCTTCCTGCAGCTTCTCCTGGGCAGTCTTTCAGGACACTTTTTTGGCGCAGGACAGCGCGCTATAAAATAAGGTCTATGTGTCCAAGAAGATGCAGCTTTCACTTCGCCTGCTACCAGTAACTGCTGGCTCGTCTTCTTGCTGCAAGTCTTGTCGGAGAAAAAACCGAAATCGCTCAAAGAACTGTCGGAAACCCGTTTCTGGCTGCCTAGCTGGCGTGTTTCTTCCTCATTGGAACCAGCCTTTCGGACTTATCCGGCCAGCTGTTGGCTCGAAGTTGTTGCTTCTTTGAGGAAACTGGAGCAACTCTAGAGCCTAGTGCACAGCAATAAGTCGGTCAGCCATTTAACTCACTCCTTTGAAAGTATTGAAACTGCTTTACGACCCTTCTCATGCTTCGGCTAGCAAGTGGTGTGAAGTGCCAAGTTACAACTGTTTCTGCTCACACCGATATGTGCTGGCACTCGTGTACTTCTGTCCGCTTCAGTCTGTGTCAATGCTCTGTTTTCAGAACACACAGCATTGAGTCGTAGCTCATGGAAACTATGTTGTGAAACAACCCATAATGCTGTGCAAGGGTTTCCTGTCTGCTGGCTGTTTGGAGAGCTCCAAGGGCGTAGCCGCCACGTGGAGTGTTCTGCAATCCGCAAGCCCTACATACTGTAATGTGAACCGGAACAACTAAAGTTGAGCTAACCTTCTGTGCATAAGATCGACTTCATGGGCAATTCATTTACCGTTAGCTTATGTTTTTGTTGTGTTTTGTAGTTTACGTACAACTTCAGCGTTCCAAAACATGTGTGGGAAAACATGTTTTTCTGTTTATTTACGCTTTACAAAAATCCTTGGCTCGTGCTTCGATGGCTCAGTTATGGTTGTTACACGCTCTCCATTCCAAAAAAGCGCTGCCAACCTCAAAAACAAAAAAAGTCCTGACCCTCCCAAACCATTAACACAAAATCGTTAAAACAACAAAACTATACCCCCTAAGAACCATCATAAAAATGTCACTTTTAATAGTCTCTTGGGTCTTTTATGAACAAAATCCAAAGGAAACTATAAAAAAAAAATTGGGTGCGTGTGTTCTATGGTTGCTTGTTATGTTTGTCACCGTCCCGCCCGCAACACACAGCCAAATCCTAGAGAAAAACACATTCCTCCCAAACCCTCCAAGACCATTCAACGAAACCAAACACAGCGTTTATAGACATTGCTGTGTTTGTTTTAATGATTGTTCCCCCTCCCAAAAAACGCTGCCAAGACTCTGTAAAACCCATAAGAACACCTCCCAGGCAAAACGCAAAAGCAACAGCACAAACAATATTAATGTTATGGAGTCTTTATTGTTTCTGATTTATTCTCCTTACCGACAAGCACTGAAAAACATTGAAATTCCCTCCCAGCTCCCAAACCCTCCAGAACAGAAAAAAACATATGCTGAATATTCACTTCTTTGTGTGCATTTCCACTTTCCGCCCTAAAACGCACCCAGGACCTAAAACAACAATGAAGGTCCCTCTCAGACCCTGCCAGACCACTGAAAATCAACGCAACAAACCTTTAAAAGTCTACAATAACTTGTATGAATTTTTCTGTGTGTTTTTATGAGCTGCTGCCAAACTAGAAAACACTGGAAAAACAACCTCCCAGACCCTTAAAACCCACAACAAAACAAACAGCATCAATGTTATGGTACCTCTTGAGGGTTTGCTGTTGATTTTCATTCTCCCTACCGAAAAACACTGCAAATACAGAGAAAAAACAATGAAAATTCCTCCCAGACCCTCCAAACCAAGCTTAAAAAACTTGAGAAGATCAATAAACCAGCATTGAAGTTTATGGGTTCTTATCCCTCCAGAAAAAACGCTGCCAAAACCTAGAAAAGCAATGAAACTACCTTCCGGACACTCCAAAACCATATCCTCCGAAACCACAAGAGAAATATAACATATTTTTAAGTTTAATGATGCTCATGCAGTCCCCCAGTCGAGAAGTGCAGTCAAAAACCAGAAAATCAATACAATATTGCAGACGCTCCCAAACCCTAAAACTCCAGTATGGCAAAAGAAACAAATCAAACCACCAAAAGAACACACCCCTAAACAAATTGCAAACGCAAAGCATACAATAAAAAACAATCCATTAGAAGGAACAAACAACCTAAAAACACCCCATATCAAAACCACACATGAACCACACAAGAAATTCATCGTGGATTCGGCCTGAAGCTGCAAAGATGGTCTCAAAACTAGGGCCTAAGGTAATAAGAAGCCACAGGTGATTGAACTTCCGCATGTCATTGATGATCACAGCAGTTCAATGGCAGTTGCGGGGTGGGCACTGGAAAGCAAACTACTGAGATAGCATAGAATTTTTTGATAAAAAAGATAAACACAGAAGATGCTGCTTCACCAAGTCCAGGGTCCGGTGCGCTCACTTCCAAGGCCATGTCCGATGCTGTCATCTTGCGAGAGTTCTTGAGGTCCAGCCGTGCACCCATCCTCACCAGAGCCAATACCCCTGGCAGGGAAATCGTGTTCGGAATGGGGTTGGCGAGTCGCCACGACTTCAGCGGCGGGCGCTTTGCTGCTACTTGTTGAGCACCCTCACCCCTGTGTTCAGTAATCTTAGCTGTCTCAGACTATGTTAGCTGCTTGTTTATGAAGCCGCCTGCATACTGCCCAGAGAGAACACCCAACATGAGCGGTGTACTGCCGAAGCTGTGATAGGCGATGCGAGTGGATGTCGAGACCCTGCCGAGCCGATGCTGCAGGCTTAGGCTCGCGCAGCTGATCGAAAGGAGAGATGCTGCCGGCACCTGGAGCTGCCCGTCCAAGTCGGCACGCACGCGGATCAGTCTGGAAATCACCTCTTCTGCCCCTCCTCGATACCACATGGCAAAGTGAAGCGCCCTCGACGTGTCCACTTCCTGTATGCGGCTGACCAGCTCGTCCATACAAGCCACAGCACCTGCCCCAGAAGCAATCTCTAACGGGGACATCCCGAAGGAATTCTTGGCTGTCGGGCTGTTGCCAGCTTCGCAGAGGACACGGATGCCCTCTGCATTGTCGGTAGTGGCGGCTGCCGAGATGGGTGGGTTCCACCCGGAGTCGACCTTGGCCCTTGCCTCAATCAGCAGCCGCAGAGCTGCATTCTGGTGGAAAAAGGCACAGATGGAGGACACGGGATTCCATGCCGTCAGGTTCACAAGGACTTGTGGCTTGCTTGTCTGGGTGTCAGGATCAGCACGTCGACCGAGCAGAGCCTGCACCACCCGCAAGTCGCCACTGAGGCTGGCGTAGCACAGCGGCGACCATCCTGGCAGATCGCAACACGACTCTAGGGGGCTATATACATGAAACGTTGAAACTCGAAACGGCTGCAAGCCTGCTTCATCGACCTCCTGGAAGCTTTGAAAGCCATTCTGAAACAGAAAGTGCTCCGCTCCATCATCTGTCGCGCCCGGCTCAAATCCTTAGCGAGGCGTCCACGTGAGAGCAGGCGAAAAGCACAAAAGCGGAGGCGGGCTCTCTGCTCAGTCTGCTCTCTCCAACCGCAGACCAGCTTCCTGGGACAAGGGAGAGGTGCTTGTCTCCTTCTGCAAGGTTCAGGCCTTTAAGGAGCACGCTCTGCAGGTTCAGGTGCACCCGATAGGCCACAACGTCCCCAGCCCTCAAGGACGACATCAACTTGTCGCGGAGCACTTGTGGCAGCACTTCCGCCAGGATCGCTTTGTCCTCCTCCTCCGTGAAGTTGCCCTGGCCGGGGGCTCCCCCGTAGCTGTTGAGGATCTGCGGCTGGGCAAGCACCTCCATGGTCTTGGGGCCCTGAACCAGGATCCACGATCCTGACATCTCGCGCACAGCTCGCTCCTTAGGCTTTGCAAACATATTTGAAACCGAGATCCGTCGTCCGACCGCTCTAGCTGCAACCGGGCCGCGAATCTGCACCACCCTCGCTTCGCCCATGAGTTCGGGCTGAGCGTGTGGCCCTCCGGGCTCACAACGGCCGGGCAGAGAGCAAAGAAGAAGTCACAGCTCGCTATGTATTGCGGAATACAGGAGGCAACGGTCTTGCGCGTGCCATGGTCATGCGGGCCCTGCGGGCACGAGAAATAGTCGTACCAAAAGTACAAGCTCTCGCGGCGGAACTCCTTGGTTTGAATGCCTCTCTGACCAGAGTAGAGCTGTCCTCCGATGGCATCCGGGGCGATGATCTCCAACTGAGACATGATCATCTTCATTGCATCCTGCAAGATCGTCAACTTCTCAAACTTCGGGTCGGGATGTTGCTTGCTCACCCACTCGTGCGAAACGTAGACGGCCTTCCCCAATCTGCGCGAAAAGATCCGAAGCCTTCCTTGAGCCTTCAGCGTCTCGTGCGGCAAGGCTTCGCGCATCTCCAGCCTTGCAGTAGATTTATGTGATGCTCAAACTCCAAAAAGCTTGTTGAAACCTGCACTCTTATCCATGCACTATCCTTATGGGAGACTTCCGGCCACGATTTTCATGGTAGCTGCAGGCAGCAACCTGTAGTCTGTAGATCGATAACAGAGCGCGCTTCAAGCGCAACACCGAGGCTCAATTCCGGGAGGGAGTGAGGCGGCAGAGTGTTTGAGGACAGGACAAGCAGAAGGAGTTCTGCATCGCGCAACGAGAGGGCGAATGGTAGTTTGGAGTGTGAGAATGTGGCCAAGCTGTCATCTACATTATCTACATCGAATCTACATATCATCCAGCACAGCTTCGAAGATCGGGAGCCTCTTCCAAGCCCATGCAGTTCTCGTCCCTGAACCATCACTTCAACGCTAACCGGCCTAACCCTGCCGAACCAACAACGAGGACTACCAAAAAAACACACAAGAAAGGAGTACGACCAATGACGAGTAGTTGCAATGGCCTACAAAGCATTGCAGCTCTACCTGCCTTGCTTTAGCTATATTAGCCTTGGGCTTCGGTTCGAGCTTCCGAGCGGGAGAAGTCCGATTGCGAAAGATACAGATCTCCGACTCGACGGGTACTAGCAAGAGGTTCGGGATGCACAGCCGAGTCGCAGGGTAAGCAAGGGCACGGTGTACATCTGCAGGGCCAGGGATGGATCCTTCTCCGCATCGTCGTCTGGGCTTGTCATGCGTGCAAACGATATTGACCGTCTGAGGCTCGGCAAGGCACAACTGGGCTGCTGCGGTGTGCCCAGCCCGGTCTTGGACTTGTTGAACGCAGGCTTCGAGTCTTGGGGGCACCTCTCGGTGCGCAGGTCACTGACCGGAGTCGTGTCGCATCCTGAGCTATGGGCGTGCTGTGGCTAAGCCAAGAAGGCAAAGAAGTTCTTACAGATTCTTACAATTAACCTGAACGCTAACTCAAGCTCAGCATCGGGACAACCTGGGTCTTTGGTTCTTGGTGTCCTGCGACGCTCTGGTTCGACCAATGGTGACTGAGCGTTGGGCACACGATTGTTGCTTAGTGAGCCCAGTCGTCGGGCTTGTCTTTTGTTGGGGTTCCCCAGACTGGCTGGCTGCCAGTCACAACAAGCCGAAGCGAAACAGACTTACGGAGCCCGCAGGTGCAAGAATGGATGCATGACACCCGGATGCAGCACGACTCCTGGTCCACACCCTGGAGAGATCCTCTGCGCTTGGAGCAACATGAGACCCGAAGAAGCTTCTTGATCGCCGAGCGCCAAGGGAACCAACTGGCGGATACCTCTGGAGAGACTTCGAAGGGCGAGTCTTCATCCACTTCATCCAAGGCGAGGGGACTTGTTGTTCTCGATGAAATCGGTGAGACGCCCGGGCTCGCTGTCGTGGGTGTGGAACATGGCGACAGCACAAAGGATCCTTTCTTCTCCAGCGATTTCAGGTTCTTGAAGCTGATGGTCGGCGTTGGCGACTCCTCCTGTCGGGGGGGTCGGGGAAAAAGAAAACCGAGACTGCAAGACTCGCGGCAAACTCAAACGCCACACCTGCAACTTGTTCATGTAAGCGTGAAGCGCCATGGAAGCGGCAGGCAAAGCTTTCAAGCAATTCTGCAAAGCTGCGCTTGTGCCACAAACTGCCGAGGAAGGTTGAGGCACTGGACTTGAGCAATGCCAACAGCTGATCTTCGCCAGGGATCGCGAGACTGAAACCGCCTAGTGATCTCTGTTGTTTCCTAGATTGCTTCAAAGGGCGTCAATTCCCTTTGGGGTCAGTGGCATCGCCGTCGTCGGCGTCGTCGTCGTGGTGGTCGACGTCGCCATCGCCACGTCGTCTTCGTCGCCCTCGTCGTCGTCAGAATCGTAATCGTCGTCGTACTAGCAGTTCGTCGCAGGAATTGTTTGATGAGCATCTTTGCCTTGCCTGTCTTTGTCGTCTTTGTCGTGTGTGCTGTCGTCGCTGGAATCGGGGAGCTACACCAGCGACAGCAGAAGCCCGCGTAGCACAAGCAGTGCTAAGCAGCCCTCACAGTCTTCGGCTAGCGACATCAACAAAATTCAACCAGTTGTTGTCCAAGAGGCCGTCTCTGGGCAGGAAAGTTCAGATTGAAAGCCCCAGCGCACGACCCCGTTTGCCTGACGGATGTTGCACATATTTACGACCTTGCGCTTCAAGACTTCAGCAGTTGCGATGGTGTCGGGAGCCACCAAAATTGTCAGACAAATGGAGAAATGGAGTTTCGAGTATCTGCAGGAACTACTTCATTTAAACTGACGTTTAAGCTGCTTAACTTTGGGCAACTCACACACGGCACCTCGTCCACACTCGCAGTTCGAGAAGTGATGCCGTCGTCAATCTGCGCAACAACGAACAGTCGATTGCCTCACACACCAAACTGGACAATGTTTCCGATCAAGGATTTATCATCATCCTCCTCATCAGAAGCAGCATCATCAGCATCGTCATCATCATCGCCACGACCAGCATCAGTCTTTATAATCAACAACATCGGGGTCTTCAACTCTCTTCAGGATTCTGTACAAGGAAACCGTGAACAGAAGCGACACTCCACCATCCCCGTCGACACGAATATCATCAACATCCCCATCACAATCACAACAATCATCATGCTTGGCACCATACTCTTCGGCATCATCATCTTACCATCACCATCTCCATCACCACCATCGTCAGCAACGCCGTCCTGATCAGCAGCACAATCCATACTCATGCACCCATTCTTGATCATCCCCTTCTCAGCACGGAATACTCATCAAGACCATCATCCCTATCAACAGCATCACCGCCATCATCATCACCGCGGCTCTCGCACTTATGTAGCTCTCACAATCATCAACATTCTAATCTCTACGTCAGCGACCTCCGACATGAACACAGCATCATCATTGTGGTCAGGAACAAGCTTACCACCACTGTCAAGCAAAAAACACCACCACCACCACCACCACCACCATCATATTATTCATCATCGGCATAACCTTCGTACGAACTACAGGTAACTACAGCGTTCGCTCTGCGATTTGGGTGCTACACCAAGCAACATTCCACCAAAAGATGTCGCCTCCATTCCAAGAACAGCTTGCGCATGCGACGTCACGACAAGCTTATCTCACCCTCGATTCTCATTAAACATGCAAAAGAGCAGAAGTCGTTGAGGCCAAGAAGCCGCTGAAGAAGCTTCCTGGAGATTGCTGCAAGTTCTTGGGTTGCTCTTGGTGCTACATCTTGCTGTGCTGATGCATCTTGCTCACCCAGAGCTTGCGATTTTGGCGCTGCTATGCCACTTTTCTTACGAGAAACCATCGTCGTCCCAGAGCTGTGACTGCACTTTTCGAATCCCGGACCTGCGGACTGAACGTTCGTGGCCTCCTCCACGTGCAGCGCGAGCTTACGGTCTGCCATGGCTGAGCTCGGGTTCGGCTATCTCGGGCCAAAGCTGTGCTGTGATGCTTGAGGGCTTTGGGTTTAGGGTTCAGGGCTTAGGTTTTAGGGCTTCTCTGCTTTGCCTTAGAGTGCACTGTGTGGAGTTGCGGTTCCTGAACCTCCCAAAGCTTGGGCTTTTTCTCCCGATCCGGATGTTGTCCTGTCGGTGAGATCAAACTTCTGCTTGTGAGATGCCTTCCGATGTCAGGATCGAGTACTCTGCCGCTGCGATATGCTCCTCAATAACAAACGCATGGAGCGTGGAAGATCCTCGCCAGTTTCGGCTTCAAGTATCTCTGCCACCGACATTTCGCCGGCAGTAAAGCACGCGGGAACTTCAGGAACCCTGAAATGCACCTTCTTGCACGTCTCGATCGACTGCTCAGCATGCTGCCAGCAGTTCAGATGATGCTGGAGGAAACCTTCCACAAGGCATGCGCTCCTTGTGCTGATCCAACTGGTCAGCTTTGCTCCTAGGTTGGCCACCCGGGAAGGGAAAGTCAAGCTTAAACACCGCTACAGTACCGTACTATAGTTACTAGGAAATCTCATAACAAGAATTACAGTCTTACAGTATCCCTTTCACTTTAAAGGTCACGGAAAATAGCGTGCCCTAAAAAGTGTGACAGCCCTCTTCCCTAAAAAAGCCAAACCGGGCCTTTGGAGGAGAAGAGGACCTCGAGCGACTCCACTTCGTAGGCCTCGGAGGGGTTCACCGTGAGGAGGATCTCGGCAATCTTCGGCCCTTCGCCGACCTGCGGCGAAAGGTTTCTGGGGCTTTCTTGGGCTGTTGAGGTGCAGTGTAGGAGTGTAGGGTTCACGGCAAACCTCTGCTGCAGCCCCCTAAAGCTTCCCAACACAATCATCCCGTCCCTGAACCCTCAACCCCTACTACCTAATATGCAATCATCCGATCAACCCCTCAACCCCTGCTCAATCATCCGGCGGGTCGCCGAACCAGAGCTCCTCGAGCTCGCGCTGCCTCAAAAAGTCTGCTTGAGGACGTCAGGCAAAGGTTTACGGCGTTTAGGATTTAGGTCGGGTCTTTTTGTGCTGTTTGGGCTCTCTCTGGCGTCTCGGGCTTCGGCTTCAGGGAGCTTATAGTATTATAGGGTTTATGGGGCTTTGGGATGCTTTGGGCGGCTTACATTTCTAACGAAACTTCCCCTCGAACCCTCAGCTGAGGGGCCCTGGGAGCGGCGACTCCTCGGGAGGCTTCGCGCCGCCGCCCGGGGCCCCCCCACGCGCCCGCCGGGCCCAGCCGGGCCCCCGCCGCCGCTGGGCGCTGGGGCGCTCTGGGCTTCGAGGATGGAATGCTCGGGGATGCTGGTCATCTCAGCGACGGCGGACTTGATGCCGATGAGATGGGGCCGATTGGTTTCAGGGATCTTAACATGGAAGATCTGGGCCTCGAAGGGGCTCCCTGAACGTGTTCTCATGCAGAGGTGCAGCGATGAAGCTGCTTGGGACTCATGGGAGGCAGTCATGAACTGCGCAAAACGCTCCTGGTCATCATCGCAGATGAACTGCCGCAGAGGCAACGACGAAATGCCCGGGTCAAGCTGGGAGTCTTCCTCTGGGTTCTTGATGTGCAACAAAGCCAAAACGTTTTGAGACGGTTGCATCACTTCGAAGCTGTCAGAAAGCTGTTCGCAGCAATCGCATGTAACAGACAGAAGGCGACGTGCGGCCGACAGCAAATGACCTCTCTCTTGCATGCTCTTCTCCCTCTCACGAATCTGGTGCTCCAAATCGACAGTGGTCTGTAGTACATTGCTGAGAAGAATGTCGATGTGCTGCAAGATGGAAAAAACGAAAATGCATGTTACAACATCATTTGTCAGGCACCACAGGAGCTCCTTGACAAGCTCGACCGTCGCCCCCGTGAAAAACGTACTGCGACTTGCAAGTACCAACTTCAGTGGACAGCACGCTGCATATGCAGCAAGTCCAAACCAAGGATCTCCTATAAACAACGAAATACCAACATAGGCCACGCCATTGACGTGCCCGATCTGCCTCGGCATATCCACCTGTGTCATTGAAAAAGCTATGGAGAAAGCTGTGGACACAAGCCTTCGTTGCCATAGAGAACGTTTTACTGCAGGGTGGCAAGACCATCGGAATGCAATCAAGACGGTCAGGAGGCTCCACAAATGTAAATCTTCATATGTTGGCTTCGTCCATGCTCCTGGGACACCTCGGGCATTACAGGTTGACGGCTAGATCGGCTAAACCTTGCAGTCTCACATCAAGTAAACTCGAACACGTTCTGAAAGAATATGATCAATCCAAGCAACCTAAACGCAGCACGCTCCAGAGCAAGAGGTAAGCTTCACCACTTCTTGTGAACACCGGAATCCAATCCGGCCAATTCTTTTTGTGCTCCTGCAGCAGTGCTTGCACGGTTGCATCCGTTGTGGAGTGCGACGGTGCTCCAGGGAACAAATGCTTCCAGTTGAATACAATCGGAACCGGAAGGAACCAAATCACAGAGGCATAGACGACGGCCACGGTGATCAAAAAGGCTACATTGTCCATCTGCTCGTGAAATTTAAAAGCTTGCCTCAATCGTTCTTGAGCCAGTACTCGGTACATTGCCAACGACTGCTGTCTGCACATGTCGCACAAAAACCGGCCAGAGTTGTGCAGTAGAGAGGCGCAAAGAGACACAGAGAGACACAAAGAGACACAGAGAAACACAGAGAGACAGACAGACACGGAGAGACGCAGAAAGACGCAAAGACAGAGAGACAGACTGGTGAGAGAGATTGAGAAAAACACGAAGAGAAACAAAGAGACACGGAGAGACATAGAGAGACACAGGGTGACGCAGAGAGACGAAGAGAGACGCAGCGAGACGCACAGAGACGCAGACAGACGCAGAGAGACACAGAGAGACGCACAGAGACGCAGAGAGACACGGAGAGACACAGAGAGACACAGAGAGACTCGTGGATTGTGAAGAAAGCGACTTGATGCGGCAAGGCTGTTCACGCGAAATCACTCACTGCTCAAAACTTAAACTTCGACCGAATGCTGTTACACGGACGCAGTGCGCCCGGCTTCTAACGGGGAATGCCAGAAAGCCTCAGAAACATCTGAAATACGTTTAAAATGAAACTGCAAGCACGATCCTTGTACAGTTCAGACTGTCCATTTCAGCGTCGCACGAGTTCGGATCAAAGCTGAAACTAATGCTCGGAGCCTTGCATGTCGAATGATTTCAAAGGGCATCACTGCTCTCGCGCTTGCAGCAGCATCTTGGAGCTTTAGCCGCGCAAAGACAAGATGAAAATCTCAACAAGAAGCTTTTCGGCAAGAAAACCCACTGTCATAAGTGGAATTTGACCTTCTGACGGTCTGTGCACCGTGAACCCTCATTGCGCTCAGTGCTCTATTTGAGCTCAAGGAATGGAACATTTGCATTAGTCGTGGTCGCTGGTGCCTGCTGTTGCTGATCTAATTCAAGACACCCTTTGTCGTCGCCTTGTTACATACAAGCCAAGTCGAGGTACTTGTCACCCTACTTCTGACTGCTCATGTACCTTCAAGCAGGCCCTGGGGTCTCGAAACCCGACAGGTTTCGAACAAAGCTCAACGCTTCACAGCCGAGCAGACAAGGAGCATCATGGAAGGTACACTCACTGCACAGGACCCCAAACGTGCACGTAGGGTTCAAGCTCAAGGTCTACAGAGAAAGTGCAAACTCTGCACGGACACGATGGAACGCAAAGAGCTCTGAGGTCACCCCACCGATTTCCATCTAAAAGCAGTGGGGCGTCACAACCGTCAACCGCAAAACCCCGTCGGTGAAAATTCCGCAACCTCCATCCGCTCTTTGCTTCTGATTGTGTCGCCGATAAAACTCTTAAGTAGAGCCACAGAAGATCGGCGCTTTAGGAGTCAATACAATGCCGCACATATGTTAGAGACTCCGACGCCATGTCAACACAAAGTCTCCCGTCAGAGACTCTTTGGCTCTTGGATCACACGAACATCGGTTTCGAGTTTCAAAAGCAAAGAAAACAAGAAATGCAAATGTCGAGCTGAGACCGGCGAGCGACTTATCGTTTCGTGTGTTCGAGGCCTACATGCGACCCCAAATGCTGATACACCCGAAACTCCTAGCTTGGAACCAGAAACTTCTTTCAAAAGCGGCCGCTGTGCAATCTTCAACCAACGCATGGCTTCACCTCTCTGCAGCTTGACTGGGTTGTAGAGTTGGCTTCTCTGAGCTGAGAGATCAGAGCTTTCTATTTCACGTGGACTTTCCGCGACTTGGACTTCAAGCCTTCAAGCACGTCTTGCAGCATTTGGAAAGGTCCACCAGGCAGTTGCAATGCAGGCTTGTCGTAGCGGCTGTGACTTCGCATTGTGAGCGAAGCACGTCATTGTACAGCGGACTTACAGCACATTTCCACAAGTAGCTGCACGCAGAAGGCACATCTGCCGTGAAATCTTTCCATCTGATGTTCCGCTTCACATGGTCTGATACGTAAAACAATCTCATTGACCCATAACCGCTCTCTGCACGACATGCAAAACAGTTGGCAACTCATCCAAGCCCGTAATACCTCAAAAAAATGGCAGATGAGCAAGTCTCACCATTGAAATTCATAGATCAACTTGTCTTCTCCGCTCGTAACTCTTGCATTCTCGAAGGTACTGATGCTGCAGCGTCCGCCTTCTAATTCGAATATTGAGTTCCGAGAGTTCTCCAAACCAGAACAAGGAGTTCCGCAAATCTCGCATTCGAATATAGTTCCTCGGGTTCAATATGGAGTTTCCCGAACCCGGGTTGGAATTTAGACAGTTCGAACATAGAAGCCCACACGAAATCGCTTCGGGTTTAAAAGCAATGACAAGCAGAACGCACACATTGGGAAAGACAAAGAAAAAATCAACTGGAAACCAGAAAGATTCCAACACCAAAAAGGGACAAGCCGAAACGAAATCGCTTTAGAAGATTCAACACGGAAATTATAGAAATCTGTCTTCCACAAACACGAAACAAGGAGTCGATACAAAATCGCTTTAAGAGCTGAAAACAAATATGAGGAAACAAGGAAGTCCAGACGAAATCGTTTACGGAGTGACGTGAACAAAATACAAGGAGACGGCACACTTGGGAAGAGAAAAACAAAACAAGAAAGAATCGACGTGAAGTGAAAGCCCAAAAACGAAGGATAAGTCCACACGAAACTGCTTTTCAAAGAAGTTCAGAAGTAAAGAAAATGAAGATTCCACACGAAAATCGTTTTAAACGCTTGAAAACGAAGAAAATAGAAGGGAGAAGGCACACTTTGGGGAGTTCAGTTCTTTGGCTGCAGCTGCAACGCTCGGTCCCGAAAAAACATCTAAACTGTAATGGCCGCATAAAAGCATCCATCAACGCGTGTCCATAGATGACTGGCTTGTCTTGGCGAACCACTCGAACAAAGGTCACTCCAGTCTCATGGCAGTGCAAGATAGTGCCACCTAGGTACTCAAAGGGGCATTACAAGTCCATCTTTGCTGCTGTAATACACGATTTTTTGTTGGCGTGGGCGGGCCTCAACGACAGCAAGTTGCTGCACTCGGTCCCAGCAAGAACTACAAGAAAGCCAAGAACAAGATCAACTGTACAAAGAAAGATAATAACAAGGTGAGACAGGCCGCGACTGGCAGACTTAGCCGGCAGACGTCGTTCGGCAAAACATGCGCAATCTAGCAACTACACCGCTAACTTGCCCCGCTTCCCTGTTAGATTGTAGCATCAGTTCATTGCTGCCATTGTACACTTGTGCACTTTGCACTTGGCTCAAGATTGATCTGATTGCTCGTGAAAAGATCGTCGACCGAGTGATTGCATTCTGAAGCTGATTGCATCCGTGCTTGTGCATTTGATTGTTGATTGCATACGGCACTCCAGCGAAGCTCACAAATTGTTCTTTGAATTTTTCATGGTAGCGGAGCCCTGCGGCGAAGCCCAGGGTCTCCATTGCGCTAAGGACAATTTGAGTAATGGCAGTATTGGGAGAGTCCCGCGGATTAGGTGGAGAGATCAAACTGTTCCCTCCTCCTGTATTCAAAGGTGAACACGACAAGTGGGAAGATTGGTCTTGGCAACTGAAAGCGTACAGGACAGCCCGTCGGTAAATTGCTGTGGCTAGCATTCGTCCGGCCAGACTGCTCATACGCGGTGAAAGAATTGTCGCGAGACGTCAAGTCCCCGACGATTGAGAGCTTAGCCAAATTGAAGCATTTATTGAGGTATCTTGCCGGTACTCGAGATTACGTATTGCGCATTAAGCCTACTCACATGTTGTCTGATTGGACGTCTTCGCTTGACATTGTGTGCTACATCGACAGTGATTGGGCAGGCTGCAGTAAGACAAGGAAGTCTACGAGTGGCAGCACTGCACAGGTATTGGGCTCGGACATGATTCACACCAGCCGAACTCAAGCGACTGTAGCATTGTCATCAAGCGAAGCTCAACTGTATGCCATTGGACAGGGCACTAGCGAGGCATTGTTCTTGAAATCATTGATTCTCGAGGCAGAATTCGCTAAACGTGTCAACATGGTAGTGTACACGGATTCAACAGCAGGACGATCCATTGCAACAAGATTCGGAGCATGCAAAAAGACCAAGCACGCTGAATTGAGATACTTGTACATGCAAGATCTCGTGCGTGCAGGTGTATTGAGCATTCGTAAAGTGAACACCAAGCTCAACCCCGCTGACATATTGACCAAGTATTCCCCGACTGAGGTTCTCAGGAATCTCACACACAAATTAGGCATTGTGAACATTGCCGACGAGTTTCACATAGATCCCTAAAACCAAACAAAATTGTTTCACATTGCAAGCTAGGTTTCGTTTGAGGAACCGACTGTCTTGACACAAGTGCGTCGAGATTGCGTCTCCGCCTTACCAAAAGAAAGAAGAGAGAAAAGAGAAAGGAGAGAGAGAGAGAGAGAGATGTCATTTCTCCGCAAGCATGTTGATTGTTTGAGATTTTCCGATTTTCGTCAGCATTGCCCATTTTCATTAACGGCATCGCCACCGCCGATTGTGCTGGCCAACAGGGCAGTTGGAGCACAGTCAAAACTGCATTTCCGCGAATTTGAACGTTTGAAACTATGTCCAAAGTTGTACATATCAAGTGAGATTGAAGTTTGGAGCAGTACATTGCAGAAACTGCATCGGTGTACAGCATTTCGAGCTTCTTGGATTGCATGCCAGTGATTGATCTTGATTTTGCTTCTGCTTGCAGTCATTGATCAGCGATTGCTACGACAGCATTCTCATTGCGACTGATTGTGCCATGGCATCCTGAGCGTCAGCGTCATCGCGTGACACTGCTCAGCAATTGATCAATCAGGCCCGTGGAGTGATTGACGACTGGAATTCACCCAGGGTCATTACTTGGGCACAGACATTGATCCAAGTGCTCACGATTGGCAAATTCAAGGAGACTTCTTCGACAGTTACATTGAGTCCCTGGATCAGCATCTACATGGAAAATGTTGGTATTGATGAGTCAGCATTGCGA